CAAGTCATATTTGACGGATTGGTAACAGTGGGTAAACATTTATGAAAATATGTCTATGATTTTAATTACCATTTCAGGTGTTTTTAAAAGCACACATTTTTCTCCCTTACACTTTGTATTGTTTATTAATGTTATCGAACTGTAACCTCAGATGGCTTAATAATTTTTTGCCAGATCTCAAAATGTTCGTATATTATAATGCGATCTCAATAATATTATAATTTAATTCAATTAGATTAGAACTGAATGCTTATAACTTCCAGTCAAAGTTTTACATGAAAAATAACTCATTAATAATACGTACATAATTAAATGGTATTAATATATCATCCTAAAAGACTTTGGTATATTCCTAACTAATGGTCTTACTTACCGTTCACATACCCTGTCTATTAGTTGCAACGTATATAAAGTTTTAGTGTTTCTTAAAAATGAATTATCAGAGTTAAGCTTTCTCCTTTATTCTGCAAGGATCTGTATAATTATCTTAGTTTATTTTACACTTAAAAATTATTCCATCCTTTGGGGCCCTTATACTGCCACTGATTAATCAATTTTAAAAAAGGACTTATACGTTTCTTTGCCCTTGTTGTTCTTTTTTAATAAGGGTTTGTCAACGCTAGTCAATAGCCAAATTGATGTTAACTCCTTGTTACCACAAAAAATGTTGAATAATTCAAACAATGGTCAACATTTTCTTCTGCATTATTGCGTCTGTATTCCTCAAGATTGAACTCGCTCTGTCGCTCCCTATTTTATGCCAAGTAGTCGTAATCGTCAACTTCACCTAGCTAATGAGTTTTCTAATTAGCTTACAGTCTATTTCACGATAACTGCTACTTTATAACACCTATTTTAATTTAATTTATATATTTTATATTTATGAGCCTTGACCGTTATTAACTAATAAAATAAAATAAAATAACTCGGACATACACTTAGTTAAATATTTAGTCATTTAACTATACTATTTAATCTGAACTTAGTGACAATTTACAAAAATGACTAAAAAATATAATACACAATTGTTGCTAAATTAAAATTTCAAATATTTTTCGTAATGCTGAGTCTTTAATTTAACTCTCTAAAATCCTGTTGATGACTATATTACTTAGGTAATGAAATCGATTTAATATAAAATATCAGCTTATAATTTATTATAATTATTACTATTGAAAATATTATCCTAACACAAAATTAGTTTTCCAACCACTTGTCTACTCGTCAATAATTTTACGTCAGTATAACTGTAACACATTATTAAAATTAATAGAAATAATTTAATATTAATTTTTTAAATAACAACTCTCTTTGAATTATTTTTTCTCATTCAATTCAGTATCTCATACTTATTATTAGGCCTTGACTTTTATTATTTATTTCTATTGTATTTTTAGCCATTGATTTATTTCAAATGCAAATACGCTTTTATCATTATGACAAATCGAATGGCTAACAAGGACGAAGAATAAACGAGAGTAAAATGTATTATTGAATTGCCACGACACCAAAAAGTGACAATTCGATATCATATTATTAACTGTAGTATATCACAGACGTTGTATATATTTTAATATTTCTTTGAATTTTTTTTATGGATAGCAATTTTTTAAATAATCATTATAACACATTTTAAAAATAAAGACATAATAAAATTACATCATGGTACTAGTAAAAAATTTTTATGTAATAATAATGTAATATGAAAATGTAATCAAATATTCTTGTATAATCAATATAGAACACACATACATTTTTTCGAATATTTTAATAAATCATTTTATCCTATGAAAACTTTTTCGTTGATATAAATAAATACATAGTGATACATCAAACATCCCCATAAACTCATCCTCCCCCAACTACTCAAGTAAAAATTTAATATCGTCTCAAACTGTATAAGTATATTCACTATAATAAATATTTTTCAATCAAAAATATTTTTAATATAAAAAGATTTTAGCAAGAACAACTTAAAAAAAATTAAGAAATTCAACACTCTATAGCTGTTTAACATAATAACTGTTTTATTTCTTTTATATTTTATTATCATGTTGACAATAATCACATAAAGAATCTATTCAACTACTCAGTGAGGCTTTCAAATTTAAAATATCGATTTACAGTAACTGAGTACTTACCCGTTAAGTTTTTTAATTTCAACGAATAAAATCATGTTTTAATATTTACATTTTATCGAGCTTTAAGCTTTTACATAATATATAATCAAGACACTTCTGAAGAGATGATGATGATATGATCAGTATTCAGATAACTTATTTTCCAATCCCCACACAATACTTGGTAATTAATATAATTGTATAATAAGCAATAACTAAAAACCCAGATGAGTACACTGAAAATGGAACTATGGTGATCAAAAACCTGGAATTCTCTAGGAAAATTTTAAAAGTATTCAAAGTTAAGGAAAAATAAGGCACTGAATTAAATGAAGTTTCTGCAGAAATGCTGAAATTAAAAGAACCAAAGATCTTATGGAAACTGTGCAATAAAGTTTGAATCTCAGAAAATGGATGATTTTATTTACTTAGGATCATTTGTAGAAGCAAATTGCGGGTTATCAAAAGAAATTAAGCGCTGCGTTATACTTGAGAGAGAAGCAGTCAGTAGGTTAATATCAATATAAAAGGATAACTACATTTCCAAGAACAACAAATTGCGGCTACTCAAGGCACTTACCTTCTGAGTAATACTATATGGATCTGATACATGCACACTCAAAGTGGAAGATGTACAGCGCTTAAACACCTTTGAGATGTAGGCCTAAAAATGAATTTTAAGAACCTTTTAGATGAAAAAGAGGACCAAAATCTCTAAATGAGGAAATAAAACTTTCAATGATTTTTAAGCAGAAGATTCTAAGATTCTTTGGTCATATCATAAGAAAGGATTGATCGAGCTTGGATAAACTGATGATCAAAAAAAAAGATAAAAAGTAATATGAGTCATAAGAGAACACCAATACACTGAATTGATCAAATCAAGATCATCATTGGCTATCCTTATCCCCTGAAAGATGCCATTTAGTTGGCAAGAAACCGTGATCGTTGGAAAAAGGTAGTTACCAGACTCTTACTGGTCCACCGAGACACCAAGAGTTTTCCCGGTGTGCGCCATAATTCAGTAGTGCCCTTCTCACCCTTCCTTTTATATTATTATAATTTTTAATTACCTATTTCATATTATTAGAGTATACCTATTTTATATGTGTGTTTTATATTAAACGAATTATGTTTTGTAATCATTATACATAAATACTAAGTAGGTACATCTTTATGCTTAATTGTTTTGTTATCATTTACGATATTATTAATTATAGAGACATAGAGATGACTTGTGAAATCTGATCACCGTAATCGATGTTAGACGTATAGATATATTGATTATTGTTTTTATTTCGGTTTATCTACGGAATTTCCGTCTAATAAGAGAGGTATATAAATAATAAATATAATTATGAAGTATATCGCAGATGGGTGTATACAAAAAATAGATCATTAAAACTATAGTCAATAATATATAATATATATGTACATTTTTGTTTTGATAATACCATTTTATCATAATTGAAAATAATATCGTCTCATTTCTTCGTGAACCATCAAAAACTACTTCCGAGATAAGATCAACTTTTTGTAAGTACCTACCTATATTTTAAATTATTTAAGATAATCGTTCTAATAAAATATGTTATTTTGTTAGTGTTCTAATACAAAACGCATGAAAAATTTAGTATCTAGTTTAGTATCTTCCTAAACTTCCTTATTGTATTTCAATAGAATGATCTACCTAATCTAAAACTCAGAATTTAAATGTTATTTATAAAAGATTTTTAATTTATAATAAATACTAAAAAGTAGATATTGGGCCGGCGTGAAGGTGAGGCGACTCAGGCAGTCACCTAGACACCATTTTCAGGGAGCGCCAAATTTTATATATTTTTGTAGATATTATTTTTTTTTTGAAAATATAAAATACCTATAACTTAGCACTAAAATATCGATATTTATGATTATTTCATTTAGTGATATATTAAAACAATATAAGTATATCTTAAGTATATTTACTATTGTTTAGTTATCGTATACATAAATTTGTATTTCAAAAAATGTTATTAAAATTTTTCCATTCATAAAAATAATACTTAGAAAATTGAATACAAGGTTCTCCTTAGTTATTCAAACTTTATTAAAAAGAAGTTTAGCGTGTTGTATTAAACTGTGACGTATAAAATGTATTATTAGGTTTTTCTGTTTAAATGCTTTAATTTCAGAGTATATAATAGTATCTTCATTACATATTATGTAATGCAATGTAAATTGTAATATAATTAGTTTCTATAGATTCCAAAAAGAAAAAAAAAGAGTGGTTACGAATTTCGAGTGGCCAAGAAAATGAAAAATGTATAATATATTCTATAATATCCACATATTAAAATATAAGTTGTTTGTGTATTTTTTTTAAGTGTTTAAAAAATACTGTTACAGTTTATGTTTTCAAACAAAATATAAATAAGATTCTATTTTAAAAGTGAGTGCACAATATATTTTCTTAACCTTTTTAGTATGAAACATATTATTTTGTTAAAAATTGTAAAATAAATCATGATCTATATTTAATATATTCAGGCGGTAGTTTGTAAACAAAACAATTAAGGGTAAACATCTATTCTATTTTTCTCTGGAATAAAAAAAATAAAATATATAGTTTGCATCTTATAGGTAGCTAGTATAGGTCTCCTTGTTACCAAAGTCAATTCAAAGGTCAACAAAATTCCATTATTGGTTTTAAAAAGAAGAATAACTACCTAAACTTCTTCCATATTTTCAATTATTATAATTTTAATTTTTATGAATTAAATGATTTAGTTGTTTTTATTATTATTTTATAATATTCATGTAATTGTGTTACATATTATTTATTAATATTCTAATATATGCTTATAATAAAATAGATATGAAAAATGAAAAATAGTTTACCTCATAAAGCGTGAAAGTAATTGTATCCTATTTAAAAAAAAAATAAAATAATTTAATTAGAATTTTTTTACGGCTAAAAAAAATTTGTTATATTGTTGAGCTATACCTAACTCGTAGTTGATAATTATTTACGTATAAATACATACGAATTCTATAAAAAGTTCAGATTATCGGTAAAACAAAATTTAGTTATACAGCTCTTTGAGTTTAAGTCTTAGGAATATTTGCAAACATTTAAAATAATATAAGAACATTGATATCGTTATCTTTTAAATACATTCAAAACCGCTTTTAATATCATTGTGCAACTATATAAAGTCATAAAAAAGCAGTATTCAAAGTTTAAATTTCTCAGTAACGTCATTATGCTAAATATATTAAAATTATAAAACGCCAGTAAAATATAAAAATAAAGAAGATTGAGTTAAGAGCGTGGTATTTATCATACAAAATATGAGATAACTGCAGACGACAGCAAAATTCGTTTGAACTTTTAAACGGTATATATATATATGTAATTATTTTAAATTTTAACCAAAAGTTGACGGTTAAGTTTACGCAGAACAAATAAATTGACCAGAGATAATTTTAATAACAACCCATCCACGTTTATTACACAATTGGCTAAATTTTCTAGGTGTGGGTGGTGGATAACCTTTACTGTTTTTAGTAGTCACGAAAACACCATTACCAAACAGTTTAACGCAGCTTTCTAAATAGTTTAGCAAATAGCTATTATTAGTAACTGTTTATAAGTTATGAGTGTCATGACAATACATTTATTTCCATAGTGTTTTAATTCGAATGCGCCATTCCTCTTTTGTCTCCAAAGTGATTGAACAAAGCATAAAATACAAAAAATAGCGTTATTTAAAAAAATTAATTTATGTATTAATATATTTGTATTCAGATATTTTAAACATACAATTTTTAGAACTTTGAATTATCATTTACAGCCAAAGTTTACTATATAACAGACTTTTTCAACGTATTATTTTTTTCATTCATTGATAACCAAATACGAATAACCATAGGATATAAAACTAAATTAAAGCGGTCGAGTCTCAAATCGTTTCCTAGTTGGAAATTTACGATTGACGTCAATACAAATGTAAAAAGTTAGATGACAATTTTAAAAATAAGGTCAAATATTTTAGCGAATTTAAGGAGGCTTCAAATTAATTTTTACCAAACAAAATATACCTTTAATTTCTACCGACTCAGGTGTATAAAATGAATATATAGCAGAGTTCAGGTATCGATACATTTTTAATTTACACTTTTTTTTAAAGTATAGAAAATTTAAATTAAAAAAATTACCAACTACGATGTATTCAAGAATAAGCTCGTCGTAAATATGCATGATAATGCATATTTTGTAATATCTTTTGCAATTAAAAATTCAACTTACCACTATCCCAAGTTTCACTAATGGATGGCCTCTTCAAAAAGTTACCAATAATGTTTCATCATCTTCATTATTTACAGTTATTGTGAACCCAATTAAACTGTGTAATATAATAATATCTTTATAAATTTTGAAAAATATAATATATTATAATATATCTTACAAAATTATAATTCATATTATAAAAATTTTACAAAATAATATCCGTTTTATTAATTAAACCATGCTAAACATCCGTTTTACCGTACATATAATATCAAAGGATTCTCTATCATGTTTTGAACTCTTAAGAAGATAAATGCACATAAATAAATACATTTCGACGACGATATAATTAAAATTAATATTTAATTATATTTTACAGAAGATGCTATGTGTTGTTGTTTATTATTCAAAGTGTCCTGTTTTAAAACCTTAAATGATTTTCTTTTATTCCAGAATTTAACTGCATTTAACAATAGTAGGAATGATAAAATTGTACATTTAGCTTCTTCGTATTTACAATGGTTTTTTACTTGGTGAGGTTTTATTCCAGAAAACTACCCACGCGTTCAAACATTTGAAAACACTTATCGAAGTTGTGTATTACAAAGTTTTGATAAGAAAAACATTAAACAAAAGCCAATATGCTATATGCGCACAATTCCATTTGTGAAAACACCATGGGATACAAGCCAACTTCACGAAGTCACGACACGGTATAATTTTACACATACGCTATACAATATACAAATACATATAAATGTATAATGTATGAAAACATTACTAGTATTATTATAAATATAAAGTGATCAAAGATCAAGGCAATAGAATCATATTTTAAGGAATTTTATTTTTCCTCTGTTAATTGAAGAAAGAATTGTTTTTCTTTCAAATAATATATATTATAGATCAACCATTTTACTTGGTTTTGAATTGCAGTAATATTTTATAATTTTTAGAATATTATCGAAAATCTAAATTCAAATTACGAATATATAATTTCAATATAGTATAGTGCATAATAGTATAGTTAATTAATTCGTTGAATTCATAAACCATACGAACATTTAAGTTTATCATAGGAAAGTAAATAGATATCCATTTTGAACAAAAACGTTTCTGTATGATATTTTACCTTTATGATAGTGTGAATTCAAAATACTGTGTATTTCTATAAACATTGAATGAAACATCAATCAATATCAATGGATTTGATGATATCTATATATTTATTTGAGTCCGTATAATTTTATTTCAAATACAATTTAGATTTAAATTTATAAAAATACAAAATTTGATTTATTTTTATTAGGCCTTTTCTGCGTTTTAAGGCAGTTTAATGTTTTTATTGTCAAATTATTAAAGATTTCATGCGTGTATTTAATGTATTTTTTTAGTGAACAAAGATATTATTACTATAAGGATTTATAGTAATTAACACATGGAAAATAAATATACTTTTAATGGTTTACTTAAAAAAAATATATTAAAGTTTAATAAAAATAAAGTCCAACTATTTTGACATACAATATAATTAATATATTTTACTTCTGCATATTATACTCACATTTCATTCTTCTAGGTTGAAAAACTGAAAAAATAAATATTTTTATTTATCCATACTATAAAAAAAAAATAGTATTCTTACTTTGACCAATTTTATTACATATTTACACTTTTTGCGTTAATTTTCTGTACGTACTTTTTTTCTAATTCTCAACATTATTATTTATTTGCTTAATTTAAAAAAAAAAAAATGTGGTATGTTTTCAATATTTAACTCAATACTAATAGTCATGCATACTTTTTAGATTTTGAACGGAATAAAAAAGCTGTTACTTTTAAAATAATGACAAAATATATACAAAATCTCAACTTAAAATATTATTATTTGAATTTACCTACTAGTGGTTTTTTGTAAACTTATGATAAACAATAACAAAAAGTACAAATAAAAAGTATAATCTAATAAGCCATGTATAAGCTATTAGGGTAAACTAAACACCAGAAGGAAGTTGAAATGCAATTTGAACTAAAAAAAAAGTTTGTATTAATATCTAATAAATTATAACAATATGATTTTTCTTTCTATGTCATTTAAATTTATAAATTTAATTTATATCATAAATAATTTTATGTGAGTTAAATTAAAATAAATGTGTTTTATTACACAATCAAACCTTCATATGTTAAAATTAAAATATACACAACGAATTCACAATTTTTTTACAATTTTACAAAATACGTAAATATCAACAATTATTTATACTAAAATAATAATTTATAAGATCTGACATCTTACATAAATAAGCGATATTATACTTTAATATTTGAACCGAACTACGATTTAAACATGAATTATGAAAAAATCATAAATACAATAAATTGATAAATTATACGAAATTAAAACGTGTGCTATAAAATATCGCTCTGCATTTAAATATTTTATGTTATGCTTTCTTGAGTAACGTTTAAAATTCAAAACATGTAATTAATAGGAACATTTATTTGTTAATATTAACTAAGTTCAAATTTGCGACATCCGGCTTTTGACAGATTTGTTAGATTCATTATGTAAAATTATATTTAAAAATGTTTGTACTTGATAATATATAGAAATAAGTGTGCTTTAAAAAATCATTATTATTTTTTTTTTTTTTTACATTTCAGTTATTTATAATATAAAATAATGTTTGTATGTAGAAATAATAAGAAATGTTAACGCTAAACACTGTCATTAAATATTTCAAACGTTGTAAGTAAACACGTATTTATATTATAATTTAAATAGTTATTAAAATAACCTATTCCTTTTCCTTTATATACATCAAATAATTAGTTAATTAAATGAAAAATAAAATTATACAATCCTATTTTATTTTTATTTTTTTTTTTTTTTTGTTCTATGTAAGTAACAATTGCGTGAGCATGTAAGTCTACCTATTCCTCCAGATTAAAAATGGGGTCACAGATGGTGTTTAAAAAATATTTTTTGACACCAAAACTATTGATACTAGGTTTAAGTGTTTTACGACAATTTCATTATTAAATTGAAAAATAATTTAATTGCTTTTAACGAACTTTTTTCAAAATTATTGATAAATGTGTTTTACATTTAAATAGATCAAATAATTCGTGTATGAACGTTTCGTTTTCACATTTTTTAAAGTATTTTCTATCTAACACCTAATTATAACGATTGACTGATTTATTTTACACGAAAAATTGTTTATTAATACTCATTAAAACAATAAAAAAATGTTTATTGGTTATCGTATTGTGTTATTGACAAATTGATACAGATCTTAAACAGATTATTTATTTGAGCGCTTTGTCATTAGCAGTTTGTTTTACACAAATTTACACATTATAATTAAGACCGGAAATATAGCCTAAATATGTATTAGGTACATGTATATATTAATCTATGAACAATTATCCAATTAAGTTGAATAAGTGTGAACGTTCACACGAATATTTCGGTAAAACTTACTAAAACAAGTATATGTAAAAATTCTAACTTAAGTAAATTAATATTTAATATTTCCATATGCCATTCATCAATATTAATTGTATTAATATATGTGTATTTTTATTTATACTACAGTATAAAATAAATTAAGCTATAAAATAAGCAATAAAATGCATGAATAAGAACTGAACTGAATATCATATATTGATGATAAAATTTTGTACACCGTAGTCTATATGCAAAGTTAACGTAAATACAATTTTTAACTATTGCCTATTAGTTTCTTTGAAAAAACAAAAATAATACACCAAAATCAAATTAAATATGAAAACGAATGTTTAATTGCAGTTTACTTTTTATCAATTATAGTAATAATTAATGATTTATCTAATTATTAAAAACAAAATCAGTTTAATTTTTAGAATTTACGTTTCAAAATATTATAATTAATCGTTATTTTTTATTGGACATAACTGTATATTTATACAAATTAAATAAATGTATATTCTTACAGTCATTTCTATTGCAGCATTCATCAATTTAGGTTATTAATTTATCACAAATAATCTTCAGAGATTTAAGTCTTTAGAGGATTTCTTACCCGCATATACTGTTTTCGCTTTATAATAATCACACATCAAAGCAAATTTGCGTTCAGCAGAATTCATTTAATGCTATTTGGCAAATAACATTTACTTTAATACTAGAGTAGATTTACTAATTTGACTATTATCAAAATTGAAGAGTAAAAATAATATCTAAGGCATCACGTAGGCTTTTATTGGTATTTATATTTTAAAGAGAGTTATGATCAATTTAAAGTAATATTTCACATTACTATAACACAGTTTAAAATGAAAATATCGATAAAAACCTACGTGATACAAAACGTCGTACTCTGTTATATCTGTCTTACGAACCCATAATATACCAAAACTTACGTTCAATCGTTCCTATGATTCTATGTTATTTTCTTATATTTTAAAATTAATCGACCCATTATCAAAGAAGGTTTAAAACATTGTGTTTTTTATGATATAACAATTTTAAAACAGATATGTTGTAATGCGGAGTAAATAATATAACGTTTTTAAACAGTTCAAATAATTTTAAAAAACAACTAGAAAATATAAATTATATTCTTGTTTATAAGTTTAATAATACTTGAATCAATTTACTATAATGTTAAAGTTTACAACACAAAATTGAAACTACTAAACGAATATCAAAATGAAAATATTCAAACTCGTGTAGACAGGCACTCTCAGGAATTTTATAATAGACATAATAATATAAAAATAAAAGTACATGTATTTTTTTTTTCTGATCGCGAATTGCAATAATTGTAACGAACTGAAAATTGCTAACAATCCGATTGCTGTGTATAGGGACAAGTAGGTATTCGATATTTAAATTAAAAATACGTATGGTCAAAAATAACTGGTATAGATAAAAATTATAGAGAATACAACTCGACTCGCAGCTGATATTAACCCGCATCGCATGAGTCGTCTAAACAATATAACTTTGTTTGCGGATCAATTTACTGTCTACGGAATAACAAATTTAATACTGTACGCAGAAAATATGTTTTTATAAATATCGCTGTTAATTCGTGCATGTTAAAACGTTATTATTGTCGAGCATCTCCCTCGGAGCGTTGACCCTGTTTCATTATCACCGGCAATACTACAAACATTAACGTTATTATTATCATTAATAGTATAATATAGTAATAGTAATGGTATTCACAACGGTTGATAAAAAAATAAAATATATCGCCCAAAATAATACGTTATCCGTGCCCGCCAACCGTGTACGAAATCCGTGTTTGCAACCGTTCAATCGAATTTCTATTTTTTCTCATAACACCTCACCAGCAATCACATTGTACACAGTTTCGGACACGGGAAGAGTAATAACAAAAATACGAAAATCTGAAGGTAATAATACAATATCGTAATATCGTTAAAACTTGTCATTGCCGTCGTTTTTGACGTGGGCCACCACTAGCGCGAGAATTTTCAAAATAAATTTTTTTTATGTTTTACTCACCGGAAGCGGACGACCGTGTAGCTCCGTGCGCGTACAACGAGTGTAAGAGATAGGCGAGTCCAAACGGTTTTCACGGTGTGATGACGACGACGACGACGACGGATGAAAATATAACCGTGGCGGCGGCGGTGTGCGCTGTATTATGTACGTGACGAGGGGTAGCTGTCGGCGTGCTGATTACGCTGCGTTCGGCGGATGAATGAGAATTGCGCGCGTCTCCGCCGCCGCCGCCGGAACTACCGTAGTCGTGTACGACGTTGAATTTGCGCTCACACACACACACACACACACACATACGCACACGCGCGCGCGCGCTCGCTACGACGCACAATCGCAAAAACACGCACACATGTACATGCACTCTACTGGCGTTCGACGCTGGCGCCGCCGCCGCCGCCGCCGCCGAGTCCCAGTGTCGCCCTAGGAACAAAAAATCTCGACCACGTTTTCCATAATGTTATTATTATTATTATCATCATCATCGTTAGGCGTCTCGTAGCGCGGTCGCGAGTCTGTAGACAATGTAACATGATAATATCATTATTATGAAACACAAAAATATTGTGTATCGTGCCACCGAAAACGATATCGATGTGAACCAACGTAGACCGTGTTAGACGCGACGATCGTGTCGTGGACCACGTTGTATAAACTCACTATATATATATATATATATATATATATTATATACATATATACACCAGAGGTGGCCAATATGGATAGGTTTGTGGGCCTCATAGACAAATACAATGATCATTCTATAGCCAAAACGCTTAAAGACGCATATTTGATAATTTTTTTTTTTTTTTGTAATCTAATACCTAAAAAATTAAAATTATTTATAATATTAAGTAAATTTTGATTTTATGAACAAGACGCAAGCCGCATCTTACGATGACGAGAGTCACGTATGGCTAGCGAGCCGCAAGTTGGCCACCTATGACGTATACGTATAATGTATATGTATATTGTATAATATGATGTATACGTCCTTCGGTCACACGTCGAAAGAGCGTGATGCACGATGACATAATATTGTGTGTTGACGAAAAACGGTGTAAAATGTATGACTACGCGAGTTTATCATTGTATGTTGTTAATAGGTAGGTATATAGTAGAGATCTTGCGTGCCAAACGTTACGTGAAATAATTATAGTATCATGTTTTAATTCGGTACGACGATTATTAGTTGACGATGAAAATAATATTATTTGAAAAACTTACTTTGCACATAGATTTTAATCGACCAATATTATTATTGCCATTTACGTAACTTTTCAATAAATTGTGATTGGATTTCCCGCCTTTATACTACAGCAAGAACTTTGAATTACTGTTTTATAACGTGAATCACAAACTTTCCATATACTGTAGGTAATAAATCCTTAAATAATTATAGCTAAAAAATATGCAACGATTTGTGGTGAAATTTTAAAAAATGTTGCAATTAAAATTTAAAATGCCACGTTACCAAAACATGTTATACGTAAATATTAAATTTATGTTTAATTTCGATTTAACACTTTTATAATAATATGTCCTTTTTTAATAAATATATAAACGCATAATTAGTTCTACGAATGATATCTATAAATAGATGCCTATAGGCTATAGTATATTTAATAAAAATAATATTATTATTGCCTATTTTCTATGACCTAACTTTAGTTGACGAATAAAATATCGACTGAATATAATATAACATATAACCTGCGTTAGCCTGATCGATATAGTGTTTATACATGACCAGAGACCAGCCTTTATAATGCATAGATATAATATTATAAACATACACTCCTTTTATAAACGAAACGTTTTTATTTTTTTACATTTAACGAGCACGCACATAATATTATATTATAGCGATATAATAATAAAGAAACAAGGCGTGCTAAATAAACATTGATGATTAGAGCCTAGAGGTAGGTACGAAACAACCCGAATTACCGTAAAAGTTTTAGAGAAATATTTTTTACTGTGATATTATATTTTATGAATTTTTTGATCATGGTTTAACAATGTATATAGCATAAATACTAAACAGTATACATTTCGTTACATTTTATTTATTTAGTTTAATTTTGACACGACTTACCTATTTTATTTTTATTTTTTAATTACTATTAGTTATACATTCTGTTTGAAAGGTTTTTATCGTTTGATTATTTTGCGTACACAAATCGATATTTATAACCAATTGACCTGAATACAATTGTATTACAAATAACTTTTTGTGAATAGTGAATTATTGTGTGTACCTTTTTATTGATAACAGATAAATTTAAACTTAAAAATTATTTTATTTTTTTGATCGTTTCAGTTAGTAACGCAACTGAACAACAAATTTACTTAAAAGTAATATTTATACTCAATGGTATCACGCAATGAAAAGAAATTGCATTACAGCCTTAAGTTTTATACTTGAATTTGGTTTAATGCATTAGAAATTCATGACATTGTAAAGAATTTTAGTGTCAGTTATAACATTCTTATAATTAAATTAATTAATTAATTAAGTATAATATTCAGTAGTTTCATGGTTTATGACCGATGAAGATGTAATGTAAAAGTGTAAAACTTATATATTCTGCAGTACTGTGTATGAATTTAATATGATTATCGGTAAAAAATAAGATCAACAATTTATTTTTGAACATATTGTTTATTATAATATATAATTGTAAATGTTAAAATTATTTTTCATAGGTATTTGGTGAATTTAATGTCTGTTCTCGTCATTGTTCATTATTCAACAAGACACTTTAGTTTTTTATCAATTCAATTGTATTAGCTACAATGACTGATGTTCGATAGATAGAAACCTAAAACAGAGCACTGACACTAACATTACGTTATGGGTATTGATTTTACCTATTATTGATACCGACGAGCCATCCTAAACTACTTAAAGGGATGTGATTTATAACCTATTTACATGTTGGTTTTATTAGATTTATAAATTTTATTTATTTTATTTTTTTATTAACTATTTTATTAAATAAACCCTATAAATATTAGTAATAAAATAATAATAATTCATAAAAATACCTATGACTTATACATTACCATTTATTAATTTTCTTGACTCGAGTTGTTTTAATAAAGAAATACAACTTTAATGACTGATGATGAAACAAATACGTTAAAAAAAAAATAAATAATCCATGGATTAAATTACATTTAAAAAAGATTTTTACTGAGCCATGAAGGGACAAAGCTTTATGTTCTGTATAGTCCCAATCAACATTATTCATTACATTTTATTTTCAATAATAACATAAATTTATAACTTATAAGTCGCATTTAATAATCATTATTGAACACAATAATTGTACAGAGGATTTTTTTTTAAGCCAAAATATTATAATTAAATGTATGTATTTTTCTATAATTTAATTATTGAAAAATAATTAATTATTTCGTTAGGCCAACAAACCAAATCAGGTCTCTATTAGAAAAATATTATTCTTTTTATATTTTTAATTTTGTTCGTAAGTAGTGTATATTTGAATATTCTTTTTCTTTTCCTTCTTCTGGCCATACTCTTCTCTAAGAGTTTTAGTCATCACTACAAATTCTGCCATTTTTCTCTGTCTTGCACAATTTCATCACGCCTATATTTTATAACCAATATGATTCAATCTTCTGTTACTCCATCAATTCATCTTTTTCTGAGGTGTCCTTGTAATCGTTTTCCTTAAGATTTCCATTCGAAAATAACTCGTAGAGGGCCATTTTCTTCTCTTCTTAAGATATGCCCTAACCATTGGATTCATCGACCTTTAATGAAATTAATTCCTAGAGCCATGCTCATAATTTCTCGCAGTTCCTATTATACCTATCTTTTTCGAGAATTTCCCACATTCGTCTCAAATTCGGGGCCATAGATTTTCCACCATACATTGGTTTCGAATTTTCTTAGCTTTTCTTTTTGTAGTCGTTGTTATTATCCAAACTTCACATCCATATATCAGTGTAGTCCTAATAATTGAAAAATATAATCTTATTTTGGATCTTCTCGAAAGCATTTTGTAGTTAGGAAATTTCATTAGTGCATGAAAGGCTTTTTCCGCTTTGTTATATTTGAACATAATATTATAAATTCATATATCATAATATGACGAAATTATACACCAATATTTAACAAAGTTTCCCTCATGTTTAAACTATCAAAGAAATAATAAGTAAATCATACACAACTACGTGAACTACGCAAGTATACAACAGTTAATTAAAAATCTTATTTAATTTTAAAACTTAAATTTATAATTGAAAATAGAAACTGTTGAGTATAACTATCCAAAAATTATTTCGTTAATTATCACAATAAATAACTGCACCTACCACAATCTTTGACTTGTTTTTCATTTATCCTCATTCCTCGTTCACACTCCCCAACAACCATCCACATCATCTAAAAAGACGCTGGTGTCAAAATATTTTTATCTAAATAGCTCGAGTTAATTATTAATTAAAATTTATTTATTCTGATTGTTCTGAAAGATTTTATTAATGGATATTCTCCTTTATCGCGTCATTTTTTTTAAATATTATATTCATTTTTCATTATAATTTTTAATATTATAGTGTATAATAAATAATAATATATTGATTTCAAGTTTTGTAAACAAAAATAAAAAAACTAAATTGACACACTACTACTAACTTAAATACAAGTAAACAAAGATTAGGCAGTTTTATAACTTATAAGATAACAATTTATTACAAAAGTATGTTCTTTTATGGCTATACTTATTAACTTTTCCGCTTCAAAAGCTATTAACATCGTGTAATATAATATTATACTCCTTGGATATGTTATAAATATTTGATCGAATTCAAATATATAATTACATTCTCAAGTTCAATTTTGTTCGTATATTTACCCTTGGTAAATTCATTGCATAATATTACTATTACAATAATACTACTTAGTTATAAAAAACTAAAAAGACTGTCAATCAATTTTTAGAGAACATTTTACATATTATAAGTATATAAATATAATGAATTTACAAAAATACTTGACAATTTTTTTAGAAACTATTGTTTATTATTTATTTATTCATTTTTTTTTTTTTTTTTGAGGAAAGAATAATTGAGTTTAAAGTTATAGAAAGCATAAGAAAGCACGTACGAATCTGAAAATTAGACGAGTATATTTATGTTTAAGTTCATGTTTTTTGCATTGTTGTTTTTTTTATAAATGTACATTGCAAATT